TCTATAAAATAATTATATTAATGTGAGTAGATCCAATTACTGGAGTATAACATTGTAATTTGTACACCACCAGAACATAATAATTTTATGTACAAAAAGCCAGCATTGTTGTTAGAATAATTGGATTCTATTTTATTTACAAGAAATCCCACTGCCAATGAACTTTGTCTACAATGCCGCCGGCACAGCGTACGGCAAGGCGAAGCGTTTCAGAAGCAGGAGGCCGGAACATCCCAAAGGTGTGGCACTGCTACTGTCATGGTTAGCTTCTCAAGCAAACCACCTTTAATTGCCTTTTCAGCAGCAACAACGTGAACGTTGTACATAGACAAAGTTTATGAATGAAAACTCTCAAAATTTCAATGCCAATTAAGGAACTAAAAATTTGCTACATTATAATATCAATGCAAAGCAAACGGAACACTAGTTTGAACTGAGTCAATATAGGGTTTAAAGTCTATGTGAATGACACCGTGCTTCAGGTCTCAGTTTTTCAGGTAAGTTGGTATAAATTGCAAGAATTTCCCCTCTAATATTCTCTCCTTAGATATTCTCTTCTCTGTTTCCCCTAATTCTTTAGGTTCTAATTCCTTCTCTAAATTCCCTCTCATCTCCTGTTTCCTCTATTATCTCAGCACCTTCTATCAATTTCCATCCCTACATATTCTTCTCTCTAATGTTGCTAGATGGAAAATTCACAAACTGTACACATCATATTTCTTTGAACTAGCATATGAGATGTATGGTTGGAAGTTATGAAGTATTTTCACTGTTTTGATGTTTTGTCATTTCATTTGATGATAAGAAAGATAGAAAGACCGGCGTTGTAATTTTAAAAAAAAAAATGGAAAAAATGGAAAAAGAAAAAAGATCCCAGCTCCAACCACCGCTTTTGGCAGTTGTGATTCTGTTGAAGTTAGTCATGACACTAAGATCACAGACCTTTATTCTTGACAGTGATACTAATGTTAACTTTAATTAGTTGCAGCTAATAATTTGTTTTCAATGTAATGGGCAGTTAGCTTGTTCTTGTTCATGGTAATTTTCTTCTGTTTTTAGTAGTTTCCTCTATGTTCATGTAAAAAACAGAATAGTTAATGAAAAACCATGTGTATTCTGTTCTCCTGTTCTGTTTTCCTCTCTTTTGTCCATAAAAGTTTACAGGTTCATCTCTAAGTTTCAC